ACGGTATCATTAAGAACAGTAAGAACAAGAAAAACTAGGTTGGAATACCTATGTGTGTCAGGTATTAAATCAATTTCAATATAGCAAAGAATTGTTCATTATCCCAAAGCATCTTTTTTTTTTTTTTCCTGTCATGGGGCTTGAACTCTGGGCCTGGGCACTGTCCCTCAGCTCTTTAGCTCAAGGCAAGTACTCTACCTTGAGCCACAGCACCATTTCATTTTCTGGTGGTTTATTATCGATAAGAGTCTCATGGACTTTCCTGCCCAGGCTGGCTTTGAACCATATATCCTCAGATCTCAGCCTCCTGAGCAGCTAGGATTACAGGTGTGAGCCACTGGCTCCCAGCCCAAAGCATCTTAAGACAGATACAGAGGTACAGAACTGATATTACCTGTTGTATTTTGTGATTCAATTCTTCTCAGATGAGAGTTTATGTGATGTTAGGAGTTGACTTGGGTTTGTATTTGTGTATGTATGTGTTTCTCTCCCCCCTTCCCCCCTCCTCCGGCTCCCTCCCCCACCTCTGTTTTAGTTTTCCACATAACAATAAAGAACAGGGAAACATGGATGTGTTTCTTTCATTCTCCAATTTGGATAAACAAGTAAATCAAAAGAGCCCATTTCAAATCCCTCTTATTCAGTATCTGCACCTCAGAAAATGAAAGCAATGCTAGTGGTAATGTTGTGCTTTCTGCCTCTGAGATCTCTGGTGAGTTGACCTGATTTTATAGCCCTTTAACCCAAGGAAGGGAGATTCTTTCCCCTCTGCCTCTCCTCCACTCCATAACTGAGTGGCTTAGGAGATCTGTAACTGGGCTGAAGCAGCTGTTGGCTTCATGCCCTCTTCTAACTTGATTATTCTTTGGACACGTTAGGCAAGCATTAGTGATTGATAATGACGCTAATTAACCCCTTTCCTTTCCAAACAGTAAACGACTGCCAGCAGGATGCTGCAAACAATAAATATAAAGCACTGCATACATCAATATCTGTTTAAAGCACAACTTCATTTGGGTACATCGAACTGTCCTGCATTCACTGAACAATTCAGTATTTATTCAAGCACTTCTCCAAAAAGCCAGAGGGAAGGAGGGAAGGGTGCTGAGGAACAGAGAGAGTTAAGAAAAGGGCCCATGGCTTTAAGATCACAACATGTTGTCATACCTGTCAGTTACAGCAAAGTTAAGCTCTAATGGAAACCATGCAGGGTTTTTTTTTTTTTTAATTTCAGGTCTATACTTTTTAGAAACTTAATTAATCCAGCTTTGCTCTTAACCTATTTAAACTTAACACAAGGCTGATGAGCACATAGATTTGTTCTTTCTGGGAAAACTCATCTCTCCTAACATAGAATTATTGTGAATTTACTTTGGCCTGAAAAAGGAACGAGGAGACATTGTTTTGTTCCACGGTAAAATTTGGACTTTAAGCACAATTTAGGGGAAACCAGGGCAAATTGGATCTGATTATATAGGCTACCATAACCTGAGTTGTAAAGAAATGTATATTAAATTTGGAATTTTGATAAATGAATATTCCTAGCAAGTGAATAAAATGTATTCAATTAACTAAAACCCTGTGCACTTCTGAACTGAAGTGGAATCGACTGTAATTGATTTATTTGAAACCAGAGGTTAAGGACTGAATTAGCTAAGTACAACTGGGTATTTCAAGCCACTGACTTCTCAAATGTCAAATCCCTTCTATTTTAAATATTATTTCAGCTGCGGGGCATTGCAGTCTTGATGGTAGTTCCATCAAGAACGCAAATTATATTAATATTCGATTTGGGGCAAGAGTGAGTTGGATTGTGATTTTTAAAGGGTGTTGGAGAAAAGAGAGGGTTAATGATGACTACCAACCGAGAAGGCACTGTGGTTCCATAAAACTTGGGAGTGGTAATTAGCATAGCCTAGCAGCCGGCATCTTTATAACTGAACTATGTATCCTAATTTAGTTTAACCCAAAGAGAAGCACTGTTGTTAGTGTATAAACACCTGACCTGTCAAGTAATCACCACGTGCTTTAGGAAGTATACAATAATCACAAGAGAGAAAGCCAAAACCCACAGAGCCTTTGCTTGGTCAAGAAAAAAAAAAACATATATATGTGTTTTTGATTATAGCCTCCCTAATCCCTCATCCCTTAAAGATACATCAGTCCTTTGAATTTTTTTTTTAAGAAAAAGAGCGTGACAGTGTGATGATCCTCAAAAAAAATGTCCAGCTACAAGAATAAAAACTACTCATTCCCTGAATTTGGCAACCATTGTTTATTATGACCTTGTCATGTTCTAAACCACTATTTCCTTTCTATCCTTCTCAGGATGCAAGGATTATATTGGGTTCAGGTTTTCCAACATAACAGCATCTGTAAATCCAGATATGAATGAATGGTATTTAATAAGATTGTTTTCGTTTTAGAATGAGTATTTATGTGTCATTGGAGAAAGAGCAGCAATGTATGGCTGTTTACGAATGCTATTGTGCCTGAGGTTAGGCTCTCCCCCACACAATCTGAGATGAAGCCAAGAAAAACAGCCCTGATAGACAATGCTTCACTTCACCTGCTACGATCCTGTGTGCATTTCATTTCTGTCAAGAGTATGTACAGTTAGGGTTCATTCGCCTCATTATTTTGTTACATCTACGTTACAGTTAACCAGTCTCTCTAGGAAATAATAAATAACCACTTTAAAAAAACAATTGCTGCCTTGCGTTCCTAGAGTACAGTTTCCATATGAATTTGAAAAAAAAAAACACCACTATTGTTATGATTTCTCTGGCTTTGGAAAACAGAATTTAGACTCCACCAACTCTCATTCATCGAGATTGATTTTACACTGCTTTCCATAAGGAGATTAGAAAGCAGAAGGATGCAGAATGGACTGTGAGGGTCGGCTCCCCCAGGTCTTCAGAACCACAAGAACAAACATTGAATCCCTCTGGTGTGTCTACCTAGATCCTTCCCTATAAACCTTCCAGTTAACACAACCCCCATTTTCTTGGTTAAAAATCCCCTCCTCACTTGCAAAGAATTTCTACATCAGTTTACAAAAGCTCGAAATGCATCATCTTTCTGTACAGGAAGTCCTCCCTTCTCTCAGAGGCAGGACACCACCCTGTTATTGTGGAAGACAGATAGATCAGCGAGGTCTGCATGGCCAAACATCACAGCCCTCCCCCAACCCTACTTCAGAGACCATTTTGTATTTTTAAAAAGATCCCAGAAGCTAGATAGGCATGTAGGGGCAGGCAGAGAAGATTCCCAGGACCAACAGAAGGTTCCACTCCCCTGTGCTAATTCCAGAGCTACTTAGAATAGCACAGGAGTAAATTCATGTCTAGATAAGATACTAAAGTAAATCTGAGGCAAATTGCCCTTCTTTCTTCTGTTCCATGTATATTTTCTTCCCACCACCACCACCAAAAAAAAAAAAAAAAGTAGAGCTAGTTTGAGTGCTTGGCATGACTTAGCCACAGAAAAACCTGGGTAAGACAAGTAAAGGTTGATGTGCACATTTCTTTTGTGCTGATGAATTAAGGATTTGAATTTCAGTTATCTTTAGAGATAGATTCCAAAGCAATGGGGGGGAGGAGGGTTTTGGAGGGGAAGAAAGGACCATGGGAAAGGAGGTCTTCATCCATTCTTTGGTTCTGAAAGTTTTATATTTGCGTTTCCAAAAAAGGCAAATAAAAAACCTAAAGGATCAACATAAATAAAATAAAACTTTATTTTTAATAATAAAATTAATGTTTCTAGTAAGGGAAAGATAGTATATCATTCCTTTAGCAGTACAAACAATCTTTTATCCAAAAGAATACATTGGGTTTTATTGTGTCGTTTGTCTGAATACAGACTCAGTGGAATATCTAAATGATACCCTGCTCTGAACTCCAAGTTGAAAGTAAGTTTTTATTATACTTGAGGGAAACAATGGGTTCAGCTGCTTATTGCAAGGAGCAATTGCCAAGGGAGAGTTAAACTCAATTACTGTAACCATACTGAATAAAAAATACTGCCAAGAACAAAAATACGCTTGGGTAAAGACAGCCACTGAATAAAAAAAATCGACATAAAGCGTATCAAATATTTATTTATCTGGGCAACAAAGAACTATGATACATTGACAGGCATGAAAACTACTGCCAGCACAACTCAATACAATACAACTAGAACTGCTTCCAATATGGCCAGTGAAAAATACAGAATACCAGGTGGTCCCAAATGTTTGAAGTTCTTGGAACAAAAAGAGAGAGAGATAGAGAGAGAGAGGAAAGAGAGGGAGAGGGAGAGAGGGAAAAAAATCCCTAACCCTTGGTTTAAAGACAATATTCATTTATTGCTCAAATGATGCTTTTAAGGGAGGATAGTGGAATAAAATAAACTTTTTTTTCTCCCCACAATACATAGAAGGGTTAGCAAACCACTTAAGTTTAAAAATCTTTCCAGATTCCAATATCACATTTTGTCTTTCAGTTTAATGGAAAGCTAAATGTATAATACTAATTATATATAAAATTTTATTTTACCTTTTTAAAATCTGTTCAGTTGTTTCATTGTCTCTTTAACATGCTACAAGAAAGCTAAATGAATCCCAGAGGGAGGAAAATATCCCCCTCAACCTTGGATTTCTAAGTACCATGAGCCACATGAAGAACTAATAAGATTCAAAACCCACTAAACAAGAGGTAAACAAGATCACCAGATAAATAAAAAAAAGGCTTAAAACAGACTCACCATATTTACAAATCCCATTAAATTACACATAAATAAATATATACAGAGACGTGAACACTGATCCCTGGAGCTGTGAATCGCGTTGCCAGAAAGAGAGTTCAAGTTGGTCGCTTTACCTTGCAGAGGGAAAACTACAACTGAAAACAGGAGATAGAACTTGGTGTGTTTGTGTTCAAGTTTATTCACAATACTGATAAAAATGTCATTATGCTCTTCGCCTTGTGTGTGTGTGTGTGTGTGTGTGTGTGTGTGTTTTAAAGTATGGCTGCAAATCTGAACTGAAGTATATAAGGGAAGTTGGTGATTCAGTCCCATGAAGCTCATATAATTTTTTTAAGTTACTATGTCTTTTTGTTGTTGTTTTTTTTTTTAGAAAAAAAAAGTTTTAAACGTCTGTTGTTGATGATCTGGTGGGTTTTCTTTAAAAAGAACAAAAAAAGGAGAGGGAGGGGGGAAAAGGTTGACACACTGGACAGAACTTTTCTTTGCTGGCTTCACGGCCTGTTCTGTTCTCTTAGGCTCCACAGGAGGGCAAGGGGGCGTTTGGTGCTGATGGGGAAGTCGAGGCAGGGGTGGGAGGGGGAGCTGCGTGGGCAGCGGCTGCCCCACTGGCAGTGGAGAGAGCTGTCCCGAGGGTTCGGGGTTTCGCAGGGCGGCGGCAGCAGCAGCAGCGCGCAGCGCAGCAGCGGTAGCAGCAGAAGTTGGGGGTGACTGATCCAGGGGCTGTCACCTGCCAGGTGCGGGGGGGAGGAGGGGAGGTCGCCAGAGGGCTGGTGAGGCGGGAGGGGGGGGTCAGGGCGGGAGCAGAGCCTCACTTTCTGTGCTTCTCTTCTTTGTCACTGCTTTTGGCGCTGTTGTCCGTGTGGCTGTTGGGGTTGTTGCTGAGGTACATTTTGTCCATGGCCTTGAGTGCCTCGGTGAGATAGTTCTGCAGGGCCGTGACCGCTGCGCACACTGCCGGGCTGCCGAAGCCGTGGGAGATGAGGTTGAAATGAGTCAAGCAGCTCTGGATCCCAGGCTCCAGGATGGGGTTGGGCCGCGAGTTCCCCAGGGGAGATCGGTCCTGAGCCAGCAGGTCTGTGAACTCTTTGCATATCTGTCTGCAGCGCAGGAGAAAGCAAAGCAGAGTGGGAGACAGGGAAGTGAGACTCCCTTTAGCAGGCAATCAAGGTGACCCCAGGGAGACATGATTCAAGGTAGGGTCCCCACCCTGCGCCTGACAGGACCAAGGCCACAGACACAGATCCAGTGAGGTCCTGTGACCTTTCAGCTTCCACAAAACCAGCTCCCCACCTTCCTTATCTGCATGCCTTCCTACCTGCAAATGCCTCCCACACACCCAGCTTCCATGGCTCCCCACAGACACAAGACAACATTCCAGACATTGGATAAGGGAGAGAAGAAAAGGAAGGAGAGGAGGAAGGGAAGGAGGGAAAGAGAAAGAATGAAAGAAAGAAGGGAGAAGAAAGAGAAAGAAAGAAAGAAAGAAGGAAAGAAGAAAGGAAGGAAAGAAGGAGGGAAGGAAGGAAGGAAGGAAGGAAGGAAGGAAGGAAGGAAGGAAGGAAGGAAGGAAGGAAGGAAAGAAAAAGAAAAGTTGGAACAGAAGTTTGTCACCATATTGATACAACTTTCTTTCCAAAACATCATCCCGCATTCTTCCCTACTTCCTTGGAGAAGAAACAAAACTCTTCACCCTCATTCACTTCCAAACCAAACCAGGTGGAATTTGGACAGAAAGCTAAAACTTGGTTTAGGATGGGTTTTGTCTTAAAAAGTAAGAATTAGGGGCTGGGAATGTGGCTTACTGCTAGAGTGCTTGCCTAGCATACATGAGGCCCAAGGTTCAATTCCTCAGTACCATATACAAAGAAAAAGCTGGAAGTGTCACTGTGGCTTAAATGGCAGAGTGCTAGCCTTCAGCAAATGATGCTCAGGGACAGTGCCTAGGCCCTGAGTTCAAGCCCCAGGACTAGGAAAAAAATAAATAAAAAGTAATAATTATTTTAAAAATAAACCTTGAACATAAAAGCCAACCAAGAGTACAAAGTCCAGGGGTCAAGCCCCAGTGCCTGCACAAAAACAATCAAACAAATATAGACCTAATAAAAATAGATGTAATGCTTTTGCTCTGTAAAAAAAAAAAAATAGGTGCCCAAAATCTGTTCCTTGAAAATAATTTTAAGATGGTTTTTTGGATGAAAAGACAGTTTTCCATCCCAACCCCAAATAAAAATTCTCCAGAGAAAATTGGGCATACACTTAAGAAGCCAGGGGATGAAGAAGTTGAAATTTCAACTTTAAAAGTCAGAAAAACAGGCAGATAAGGCCAATACCTAGGAACTTCTGCCCCCAAGTCTAACAGACGCTTCCCCAAACAGCTATTGGCCAGCTGGGAAGGGGTGGGGGGATTAGAGGAGAAGCACTGGACTGGCTCCTTTCACCGAAGCCAGCTGATATCCTCAGAAACAGACCCAAGGCCTCAGCTTCTCCCCTCTGGTATCATGCCCTCCTGTGACACTGACTTTTGATAATTAAGGGTTTCTAAACAAGCCTTCTCATTTCCACAAAACATATCAAAACATTCATTTTCTTTTCACATACCACCTGGAGAAGACGGTTTCATCCAGCTACCAATAAGAATGTAACTTACACCATTTTGAAACCTATTTGACATCTTGCCTGTAGGCTAAAACTTGTGTGTTGGGGGGGGCAGTTTTGAAGAGGAAAGAGAAGAAATGGAACAAGAGCTTAGAATTGGAACTAGGACACCTTCTGGCTCCTAGATTTTGCAGGCCTTTGCTTGACCTTTGCCCTTGGGGAACATGTTGATAGAAATGGTCATAGGCAAGCCTGGCCCCTTAGAAAATTTGATTCTGGTCTTCTTCCTGAACCACAGAAATCCACATTCATCTTCTATCAAACCCCGCCGCCTCCCACCCCCCCCTTACACACACTTCATTCCATACTAGTTAACTTAAACTTTCACAAATGAGAAGATGGGGTAGGAAAAAGGGAAAATATGAAACCATACTGACAATCTCACCTGTCCTGTATTTCCCCTTTCACATAGATGATGGTTTATACATTTGTAACTTCAGCATTTACAACAAAACTGATTAGTACACAAGAACAAAAAAGAGAAGAAGAGAAAAAAAAACACCATTTTTGTTTCTTTTGACAATGAAGCAAAGAGACCCCACAGAGGTGAATGCCTTACTTTGTAGCCAGAAGCATGTTTTTTCTTGTCACTTGCTCATTGGGATCGGAATGCTGTCGGTTGAGAAATTCAGCTACTGCTTTGGCAGGAAATTCAGTTTCGCACACATACCCAAAATCTCTGGCTAGGTGGACAGCTTCTCCTGGCAAGAGGTAAGAGGGGAGAGAGCAAGAGAATGAAGAAAACTGGGATCAAAGCTTCCTCTCTGCTCTCAACTCCCTTATTTTCTCAACCCAGAAGTTGACTTAATCCACAAACTCACTGCTGTGTCACTATAAGTTTTTTTATTTCCTTCTCTGAAAGACCCAGGGGGTGCACTCATCAGTGTAAATGACAGCTTGTCCTACAGTAAGGCTGAGATGATTTGGAAATGTGCCTCCTATCCCACCCTTACCTCCCCTGACTAACCTTTCCCCAACTTTCTCTTTTAAAATGATTCTTGTCTCCCAACCTCACACCTATCAACACATTCATAAATGATATTCATAATTACTCCTTGAGCTCGGGTGTAAGGGACAACGGAGGGTTTACATTTTAACTTGATCACATATAATTATCTGTTCATCCAAACCGATTAACCGAGAGGATTTGAGGGTCATTCCACTGAGTCTGTCTGTGTTGTTGATTTTCGAATCTTTGGTTTTAATTTCCTGAACCAGTTGGTTTTTACTGCAGGGCTTCCTGCCATTAGCTCCAGCTCCGGAAGAACGCATGCGCCAATTAGGGCATCAAAGCTCTTTCCGCAGAGCTTGTTTCCATAAAATGGAGCGGATCACAAACAATAACAGTTCTCCAAACTGCCTCCCTGCTACAGCGCTCAAGCCCCAGGCCCAGGCCAGCTCTGAGGCTATACCCTCAGCCACCACCACCATTTGCAGGGCATGTAATTCTTTTGGGGGTTATGAACAGTGAGTCACCTACATACTGTCATTATTTTAAATATAATGCTACTGGAGTTGAAATTCTGGCACCAACCAAGTGCTGGGTTTTCAACCCATTACATTATTATATTTGACACCATTAATAAATGGTAATCAGAGGGTTCTTACACCGTGTGTGCGTGCGTGTGTGTGTGTGTGTGTGTGTGTGTGTGTGTGTGTGTGTGTGTGGTGGGGGGGGTGATGTACAAAGTGAGGACTTGAAGTCCACTCTGATAAAATCCAAGATAGAAATAAGATCAAATACCTTCTTTAAATGTAAGCATTAGCGTTAAGGCTGCCTGGATATAAATTACTAGCAATAATTTGTTCTATCAAAATGAGACAGAAAACACAAAGAAAAAAATATATGAGGGATCTATGTGTTTTCCCCAAATCAAACTTCACTTCAGCTTATTTAGTATCAGAAAACTTGGGAGCCTAGAGGAAGCAGAAGCAATAGTAGATTCTGGTAACTATTTTATCTTGAGCAGGAAGAAGGGACAAGGTAGGCCTTTTGGTTTAGGGGTATGGAAGTGTGTGTGTGTGTGTGTGTGTGTGTGTGTGTGTGTGTGCATGTCAGTTTAAAAGTTTCACAAGAAACTTTTTGTAGTTCATACATTTCTTTTTTTTTCTTTCTATATCCAAACAAGATAAATCTTTTAAAACTGTTCAACCACCACCCCCCTCCCCTGGAGAGAAAGCACAATTAAACAACAGAGAAAAAAAACTACAAGGGCACCTCACCCTGAGCTTTCAGGACCCTCTTAAATCAGGATGCAGGTCAAAGATTCCCAAATTAATTCAGGAAGTAATGGTCACGCATTTCTCAAATGCAGATGTCAGAATAACTTAAGTGATTTACTGCTGAGTTCTTTAAAGGAGACAGGAACTTAGAGAATGTGCAGTTCTTCAATTTGTGCATTGTTCAGGTCAGGACTAGGCTTAGGAGGTGTAATTTTGTGGGAGTGAGGAAGAATGATAGGAATACATGCAAATAGGGTTGTTGGGGTTTTTTTTTGGCTGACAAGAATTCTGTTCACTTCCGGTTATGGTCTGTGGAAAGACGAAACTGCCCAATTGATACAAAATATACCCAGACATCTGTACACTATAGTTAGAAGTCCCCTTCTAGTTAGCAAGGGGATTTACTTACCCTCCACTAGTGAAGTGAGCAGGGTAACATTGGCAGCTTTACGTCTTCCTGCTGGCAGATTTAATCCTATTTTGTCCAGTTTTTCTCTTAAAGATCTTCCTCCATTTTTGGACTTTGCCCTGTTTCACAAATACATGCAAGATAAGGATTTAGAAAACACTGGGTCATTATGTGTTAAAGTCATTCTGAAAACTTCCTAAATTGTGCTTTTAAAAATTGAAAACTGGGGCGGGGGGGGGGGGGAGGGAAAGAGGGAAAAAAACAAGGGGGGGTAACAATGTTCGACAAGAAATGTACTCATCACCTTATGTATATAACTGTAACCTCTGTACATCATCTTGACAATAAAATAAAATTAAATTAAATTTGAAAACTAGCCAGTGGCTCATATCTTCAATCCTAGCTACTCAGGACGCTGAGATCTGAAGATAACCAGGCCAGGCAGAAGGCTGAGACTCCTATCTCCAATGAACTACTGGGGGGGGGG